CAAAAAAAAAAAAAAAAAAATCAAGATTCTTGAGGTTACACGGGGTTTAAATCATTTTGGATTAATCAGTTTTCAAACTGGTACACTGTGCATTTTGCAGAGATAATAAAACATTTACCAGGAGCAATAGTCTCCAGCGTTCCAGGATTAACCTTTCTAGTGCTTGTGCAGTGTTGGATAGCGGACCCAGTAAACACCAAGTAAAAATCTACATCGTCTTCAAGTTTGTCTTCTTCAGTCAGCAGCACTGTAATAATGCTGTCACCCTAAGAGACAAGGGAAAAAAGGGAAAGTTGAGTTTTTAGGAATTTTATTATGTAAAGATCTACCAAACATTCAAGGCGCCAAATTTCTGTTCTCAATCCATCTGCACAGAACTGCAAAGGTCCCCCTACTCCTGTCTTCAGAGGTGCATATAATTGTTGACATAAACATCTTGCTCTAATCACCAAAACCAGAGTCAGCTTTTAAAGATATGCAGAGATACAGCCAGGGGAGCAATCCAGAAACCTCAGCACAAGAACAAAATGGCCATACTAACATTGTGACCTCCTGATGGCACCACGACATCTCACAGAACTTTGACACAAGGATGCACAGCTAGAAAGCTGAAAGCAGAATCAGATGTCATTTCTTCTCAATCCCTAAAGCCTCTCCCTGCCTATGCAATGACATACTTGACATCTGTAGTAATTAACTCAAGCACTGCTCACTCCCCTTCTCTTCCATACAGATGCACAGAGGTAGCAAAATGCCACATGCCTTATGGCAGGGGTGTCAAGCTTGCCGCAGGCCAGATCAGGACTGCAGGGCTCCTCCCAGGCCAGATCCAGAGAGGAGCAGCAGTTCCAGCACATCTGGTAGTCCAGGGAGTAGCAAGACAACCAAGAGCTGTAGCTGCACAGCCCTTGCTTGGTTTCCTGCTGCAAAAAGCCATGCCCAAAAGGCCCGACCCCCATACTTCCAGTAGCCTGGGGGCACATGGGATAGCTCTGTTGCCCACAACTGTGATACACCTGTCTTAGGGTATTATTGACCATTAGAAAATACTACCATAAGCAGCTAATCAAAGTCTAATGACTAAGGAGACTGACACAAAAAGAGAGAGAGAGAGCTTTGAACATAACTAAGGACTGGATCATTGAATACTATTCAGCAAACCCAACCCACAAGAAAAATATCTGTCTTACTGGGACACTGAAATCTAATGCTCTTTTCACCTTTTTAAAAGCTATCAAATCAGCACGTACCAATATACATGGAAGTAACCGTTACTACCATGTTGTCTTAGTTGCATGCAACTATACTTTTAACAAGTCACCACAACATGACACAATTACCTTTTACCACGGAAACCTCCTATGAACTACGGATGTATCTAGTATTGAAGGCAGGAGATATCCCTGCTCAACACAGCAGAGCCTTCAAGAGAACCCAGGGCCTCACACTGTATGGCTAGTTCAAAAATATTGAATTAAAAAAAAAGAAATCAAAATCAGTTATAAATGTATCAGAAGAACAACAAAATTAGAGGGGAAAAAGGGAGGGTGGGGGTGAGAGATGCTCTCAATTCCCAGAAGCAGCAGCTTGGGCTTTCAGAAAAACACTGAATATCAAAGAACTGGATAAATTCAAAAAAGACGGCAAAACCAACAACTGGTCACCTGCAAGACGTGGATTGCTTGTCAGTTAATATCAGAGCTGGTTGTGCCTGCTAATGCTACAACTAAGAGGCAGAGAAGCATGGCTGTGTCATCTCGACAGACTCCTGGGAGGGAGCATGTCAACACACAAACTTACATACGCACTGGATGCTCCCACCAGATACTAAAAAAGCAGAGTTCCAGATGAGACAACAGGAATAATACACAGAAGAGACAAATGCGTATGTTGTGTATATTCAGTGATAAAATAAAAACAATTGAGGACAAAACAAGATTTTTGAAATTCAAGCATGGCCAACTCTTACGAGTTCAGAACTGAACATTCAGTTCCAAAGAACCGCATCCAATTTCAAAACAGCTACTCAAAAACAGTCTCTTTAAGCCTAGAAACCTCCTCTTTGCTTTGAGTTTTGTTTCTTTTTCTCTTTATTTAAACCACTCTTTCCCCAAGGCATCCATACACAAACTTTTAAATGGACTTATGGTCCAGCTGAAATTTTAGCTAATTCATCCGCAGAGCTGACCGTTGCACCGCCTGCCCCACCCCCAAAGCAAAGTATAGATGTGCATGCATGCACACACACGCGCGCGCACGCGCACACACACACGCGCACACAGAAAAAAAACAAAAAAAAGGCAAAGTATGCATATAATTATAAGCTACTAGGACAACACAAGAGAGTTAACACTGAATACTTTAGGTGGGGAGGCAAACATTAGATTCACTTTGGTCACATACAACAGGATTAAAGCCTGCTGGAACCAGGATTTAAAGATACAACATCAGATCGAGTTAACTAGCTCCTTCTAATTTGCATCTTCTAATAGCCGAGTGAATGCAGAGCAAATGGATGTTAGGATGCATCGTGCTGGCTGAGTTGAAATCCAGGAGGGAAACCCAGGTTATGGCAGGCCAGCTTATGTGATTTGAGGGGTTGAAACTCTGTCTACACAAGTATTAAGGCAACGGTCCTGCTGCATTAAGCTAACCTGACTAAACTAATACAACTGGATCAAGCACCTTTTTCTGCCACGTGAACAGAACTTGAGGCCTGGTCTAGACACGGAAAAAGTTCTCTCTCCAATTGGATTCCCCCCGCCTTGTCTAGATAAGGCTTCAGGTTTACATGGCAGGGAGAAAAAAAAAGCATGTGGTCAAGCATTAACTTTAAACCTTAAACAGTTTAATTTGAGACACCAAAAATGAAAGCTTGATTCAACTCCAGTGTAGATTCAAACTGGTTAGGAGGAGAATTTCAATCAAACTGAGCCAGCTCATTTGAGCTCACACAAGCAGATGGCAGCTTTTCTCCTAGTTTAGACAAGCCCCTCCTGCCCCCCAGTTAGGGACTTGCACACTGCAATTCACATTCCAGCTTCACGTACCATCACAACCAGACCTCCCAAGAGCCTGTCACAGTCGTATGCTAAAAAGCAGGAAGCCAGTGTCCAGTTTACCCAATCTGAAAAACTAAGCCTGAGTTTTTCTTTGCTTCTGTTGTTTTAGACTGTTTTTCAATTAAATACAAATCCACAAGGGAGTCTTCATACAGCCCTGGCAGGGAGCAATAGCACTGGCAGGCTGGGGAGGGTACCATTTCTTTAATTACTGAACACTCCTGTTCACTTGCCAGTGTAGTTTTGAGACTGCCCGTTACCTACAGTTGTATGCAGCATAACTCATTGCCCAAGAAATGCACTGAGATGCTGGATGAAACGTGTTATGCAAGCTCTAATTGATAAGAAAGTGGGCTGCCTTCAGTATCAACACATGCATAATTGGTAACACAACAGAACTGTTATATTTCTCATTATTAAAATAGTCAGGGTCCAAAAGTGACTAGAAAATAAACTGCATTGAAAATATGACTTAGCAATTTATAATGCAAAGTTCCTCTCTTTCAAAGAACTCGAGAAAGAAAGCAAATCAGTTACAAATGCAGCCAAATTCCTTAAACCCTTGCAGAAGAGTTTCCAATAGCACTATTGCACTCAGCCTGGAAAAACATTTTAATTGAGGCATGTTTACCTTTACTCGTTTAATATTACCCAAATACTGTCATCTGTTCAAGATCACTGCCACAAGGTGGTTACTGTAACCCCTCTTTCATCCTAAGTGACTACACAAATAGAAAGCCAGACTGCCGATATCTCTTTGGTGAAAGTACAGATAGATCAAAGCGATTCTCTGGCACATGCCACCAAATAAGAACAACTGAATTTCAAAACTAGCTTGGACCCACTAACATTTACTTGGCTTGGGGCCTACTGGAAATGAAAATGTTGCATTTTTGCCTGTTTCAACGGAGGGCCACTTTCTTTCAACTCCCAAATTTTGAATCCAAAAAAACTATGAAAAATTCTTTGGGGAGACGTGATCTGGTACAAAGAACAGGAAGTCTACTCACTGCTGACAAGTGCATTCACCATCTCAAACTGGGGAATGATGAGTTTTAGGGGTCACAGCTCATGAATAGGGTCTTAGCCATGAATTCACCAAGGGCTGTTTTACTCTTAGGTCTTCTACCACTATTTCTACTATTTCTAAGTATCAGTATGAAATTCTTGATTTAAGACAACAGTTTAATTATAAAAGGTACAACTCCCTACTGCTAACACTGTTAACTTTAGTGTAAAAATGCTTATATTGAGAAAAATGCTTATAGCCATGTAATTGTGACAACATTAGAAACTGATACAGTCAAAATGGCATTATGTTCCAAGCAACTATCGTTACAGCTATAAAAAACCTGCATGTAGGTTGTCATTTCCTTCATTTCACTTGCCCTATCTGTCAAAAAAAAGAAACTGTTTCAAAGTATCTTGATATGAGACTTACTTCATCAATTTCAGTAAATGGCTATGAAGTCATAGAATGAAAGCTGTTATGTAAGATCTAAGTATTACTAATTTGTATTATTTACTACTATTAAAATATAAATCACTTCCTAAAGGAAACTTAATTATGGTTTCTAAAGGATCATTTTAAATCAAAAGCCTCAGCTTCCAATTCAGTTACTGGGAAACTGCATCAGCCAGCTTTTGGGAAGTCTACAATCTGGGAGGACTGCTGACTTGCAGAAGATACAGAATTACAGAGATCCCCTTGTAAGGCTTATATATGAGGCCACAGATCAGACATGCCCCTGCTTAACTGGAAAAAGCATGACCCACTATAATCTATCCAGGCCCAAGGTAACAAAATAGTGATGTTATAGGCATCCTACAGAAATCTATAGGTATTTCTGAAAACACATTTTAAAACAACCCCCTTTAGAAAGAGTAAGCTTTTTATTGTATGAACCATGGCAACTTTGACCTACAAAATTCCAAGTATCTTGTCTACATTTGGATTTTTAATAAATGTTAGCTAACAAAAACATCTTCTCTCCAACTCCAGGTAAACCCACACATTTGGTTGTTAATTTACCAACCAGGTGCAAAGAATAGGTCTGATGCCCTTCAGCACCTGCCTTTTCAAACTCCAAGTGCCAAGGAGAGTTCTGCTATTTCATTCATTAGCCTAGCAGGGATGTCCAGCTTCTCAAACGCTTCAACAGCTGCACCAGTGGAGGCCACAGCAGCATGAGCCACAGGTGCTT